CTTTCGGATTCCAATGATAGGGAACAGGAAATCCTACTTATATTAGAACCCTGATGCTGAAATTGTTACCGCTGTATGGACCATACCAGTATCACTAGTTTTGAGCTATCTCCTAAGGACACTACCCAGCATGAATTTGCGCATTACAAAGCCTTTTCCCTTAATTTTTAATACTTAACAGCCCGAAAAATTGAGGTAAATTAAATTTGCACAAAATTGTGCTGACAATTCAGCACGCAAATGCAAGGATAGGCATACGAGCACCAGACATGACCTGTCATACTCGGCGACACTGCCGTGCTAAGGAAGAACGCCGTACGAACATCGAGAGTAGCCAAATTTCCATTGATAAAATGTTCGTTTTTGAGGAAAGTTATGAATATTTTTCCTTGAAATTTTTAGGCATTTTAGCAACAACATTGCGAGCAAAAGTATCTGAAAAATCGGAAAGCAAATATTCATAAGTTTACCAGGAAATTCGTGTTTTATCAAAGGAAATTTAGCGACGCCTGCAGGTTCATACGGCGTTATTCCTTAGCAAGGCAGAACACTAAGAGGGTTGTAAAATTCAGAATCGGGCTCGATTATATGACAGATACTCCAGTCCAACTAATAATGCGTTCAATCAGTTGACTGAAATAGACATCCGGCTCGTAGAATACACTAGTTGCACCCGTACCGCGTACCCAATCACGGAAACCGTGGGTGCATCTCAGATTACGCCCGCAAAAAGGAGGGTATGCAACCCGGCCCACCGCGGAGTTAAAATAGTTGCATGTTGGGTTCGAAGCTAAGCAACTTCGAATATTCGTCCGGTGTTTTACGCTCCGCGCATTATTCTAAGGCCAAGTTTATCGCTCGGAGAGGCATATCAGTTGTTTTATAAAGCGTTATTTTGTTGGTAATGTTTTTTCTCTTTTGACTGAGGAACCCTGAGGAAATCATTCCATATATTCTCGGATGATTCCAACTCCGAAGGGAGCAATGGAAAACTACGAAATGAATTTAAAATAGAAAATCGTGTTACCTACTTAAATTAATTTTTTGATGGAATGAAAGACAGGATACTTAACACTTATTTCGCCTCACTTGGATGTGACGAGAGGCGAACATACAGTTCCTTATCGTAAAATACCTATGGTCAAATTTTTCAATCCTCTTCTCATAATCATGCCATTGTACTTTCGATTTGTTGCCGAGTTATATTTTTTCAAATTTTCTCGATAATCCTCATAAGGCCAATGACACAAATCTCCAAGGGTTGGTCCGCGGAGCGACGTGTTTCCCTGGCAAAATTCAACACGCGGAGTCGAACTCCACGAAGTTCATGGTCACTGGCCTTTCTCCTCTCGCAGTCGGGCGTATTTCTGAGGTTACTGACACCAATATTTTTTTCTTTCTCTCTTTCATTTTTTCTTATTTTTGTTAACGTGTTGATAAGTAGCCAAGAGGATACTATGGATCTTTAGAGCGCAGAAAACTCCCAATTTATTACATTTCGTTGCAAATATATATTTTAGTGTGCATTTTAAATCATCATTTGCATGTTTTAAACTTCAACGGATCTCTTTGAAAGAGGAACTTTTGGGAATTTTGTTTGAAATGTCAAAATTTGCCTCATTTCTTCGCCAGAACACGTAATGGAAGACCTCCTGTCCTATACTTCTTCTGCTGAAGAAGAAAATAGGAAGTTTCTTGAACGAATCGATGGTGTAAGTCGGCAATTACATAACTCGGTTTGCAACGTTGCTTTCTTGTCATACCTACTTTATTTTTTAAACGGAAAACTTTACTCAACAGCAATTCTTTAAAACTGCCATGATTTTATTTCTCTGTGCGAAGAAAATTCTGCATAAACTTCAAGGAATGATGTCAATTGGCTCTCCTTTTAAAAAAAATAACATAGAGGCGGAGGCTTTCAGACACCACAAACACCATGTGATAGCGGACTTACGCCGTCAATATTCAGAGATAAATCAGAAATGATCAACTACAAAAAGAGAAAACTACCAAATTCTGACAGCTCCTTGTACTATTGGTACAACCCTAACCAGGACAAGGAGCAAAGTCTTCGGCAGAAGACCTGCAAGGTGGAGGATGAGATCTTCCTCTCAGAAGCCTATGAGAATTTAACCATTCAGAAAAGCAACGTTGAAAATTTTAACCACGCTGATACAGAGTAACCAGGAACAAATACGGTGATGAAACCTTTTCTTCTTTCAACATATAATCCGTCTTATAATTTTTTCTATCAACTTTAGACTCGATCTGAGTCAAAACTAGCGTCAGAATGCGTACGGAGCATGCTACATTTTCAGGGGAAGGCCTTTGAACACAATTCTATAGGGGACGTCCCTCGTACCTCCCACTCACAACGTACACTGCGCATGACAAAATTTCGCCAAGGCGCTGCGTGTATTAGGGTGAGGTTATCCTTATTCAATAGTAGCCATACAATAAACAGCGCCAACAATGAGCTACCATGATAATCGGGAATGAGGCCTATCAGATTATTCACCAATATTGCAAACAGGCTTAAATTACCGGTGACAATAATGTTGATCATCTGAATTCAACGCAGTATGGCATCATTTGAACAAAATATTTTTTCAAGAGCATTCATGGCAACAGCATTCCTTTAAAGTGAGTCGACTATAAGGGTGAAATCAATATCATGAGTATAAGAATAAGCCTTACAGGGAACTGCCTTCAGAGCTCCATGTACAGAAAACCAAGCTCTGAAGAGGAGATCAAGGGAGCGTAGTTCTTTAGAGAATGATTCACTTCGTAAGCCAAATCTTAGAGGGGAGCTAACCATGAAGTGAAGTTGGTTCAGTCCTTTCCATCACTTAATTCCATAAGAGCCCATGCCTATCTCTTAAAGGCTCTTAAGTTAGAGCAAAAATTGCTCCCACCCACCCATAACGCTCTGTTCTATGAAAACAGAACTTGTTCGCTTCATGAACCTCAATAGTATACTTGATTTATTACTGAAGAAGAGAGGAAAAAGGAGTAGCATAATCATGCCAACACCGCCTTATTGGATGCGTTCAGGTTGGGTCCGCACAAACGACTCTTACATACCCACAGTATTTAAAAGGTGGAAGTGATTCCCAGTAGCAAAGAGATAGCTAGAATTATTTACAGTTCTCTCTCAGATCTGCGAAGACATTGGAACTGTAATAAATGCTGTTGTAAACAACTATAGTGCATATCAAGAGAGAACTGAAACATGGCATAACCAAACACAGCAAAATGATAATGAGGAGTTGAAGTGACTAATTACAACAGTAAAAGCAAACGCCGATGATATCCGCTATGGAATACAAGGTATTACGATTAAAAGGCATTTATCGGGAAAAATATGAAAGTTGATGGATTGAGATGACCTTATCTTGAAGGAATGGTCGATGGGTGTCCGAATTACATACGGCAAAAGACGGGCTCGATGGGGGATTTGACTGGAACCTGGGCTGAGCCCAAGTAGGATTTATAAGAAGATTTGTTCTTTTTACCTGAGTTTGTTTCCAGTAATGCAGAATTTAAGGAAGAATCCATTTTGATCATTACCACTATCACAACAACGGCTCATCAAGAGCAACTCGATTCCGCACTGCTCTTGTTTTAGGAGTGTTCCAGTGACTTTTGCACTGAGGGAACTTCTGAAATTCCCTCTGTTCGTCTGTTGGTATAACTGAACCTCTCGTTTAACCGCGCAATTTAAAAAAAAAACCAAAAGGTACGCTCATTCTCGGCTGATGAAAATTTTTGCGATTGAACTTTCAAAGGCGTTTGAGCCATATTTTTTAAAAGAGAAGCGATTTTACGCTTGTTAAGCCCAAAAGTAATCCAATTTGTAAACATTTTAGACAGGGCTTGGTTTGAGACCGTCATGCGCCCACTGAACGAATGTGGGTAAGGGGGAGGGGGGGAAGAAGAGATTAAGAGATAAAACGTGACTATTATTTAGTAATTTGTGACTCTCACAGACTCCGAGTCTTGCATTCATGAACTTCCAATGCCAAACTTATTACAGGACGCGGTAAACCATCCGTCGCACCTTACCCTTCGAAAGAAAATCATCGGTGCCTTGTTGAGAGTTGGTTTAAAAATAGGGCGACTGCAATACTTAATTTTTGGGTATGGGTAGGAGCGATCGTAAAGACGTAAAGCTTTTTTCGGCACTTTTTATCCTCTCTCCTCACCTTTGGAACACTTTGTAACGCATAACTCCCCCTTAATAATTACGTAACGTGTGACACCCCCCCCCCCCCCCCCCCCCCTTTAAGATTTGAAATACAATTTTATGTATTTTTAGGAATGGGGTGACAAATAATGTCGAAGCAATGACGATGAAACATTTTGGATTTTCGATGTTTTTTTACAATAGAGAGGGTTACGTAACTCCGGCACTGGCACCCCTTCCCCTTGTAACTTAGGCTTATTCTCCATCTCTCCCTTTTCAACATCTTGTAAGTAATGAATTTGCACGCTCCCTATTAATAAAGATCGGGGGCGCAACAATAATCCGTTTGTTTAAACTATATGCTCGCAAAAATAAATGTTGAGCAACTTCAGATAAGAGCACTAAAATTTACTGCATGTTTTTTATATTTCATTTTATTTTCTCGGAAAGGCTGAGCTCTCTCTGCATCCCTACGGAGTTACCAAATACTATCCTCTCTCATAACTCGCATAATTTCTGCTGTTTCTCCGCATGTGCAGGATATGGTTTAACAGTATTTTACCCCCAAAATCTGGATGGTTTGCGATAAAAGTTAGTAATATATTAATATATATTTTTATTTCACAAATTATTTTCATTAATCGTTGAACATTGTATGCAAAATCACAATCAAACACAAAAAAGTCCAGGCTTCTTTTTAAATTTCAAAGTGGTCACTGTTACCCGCGATACCTTCAACCAATCAGAGGCGCGAAGTTGTGACGTAGAAAAATGTATGCCACCTCCAAGACAGTCCTCCTATACATTTTCTCTATGGTACCTTGATGACTGTGATGACGACTGATAAAGACCTTCCGACTTGCTAGCTCTCATTATCATAATTCCGAAAGTTGATGCTTACTGCCAGAACTACACACGTATAACAGCACCACAACTTTCTAATGTAGAATTCGAGTGTATTGGATCATGGCTCAAACTGAGGTTGTGATTGTATCCGCTGTAAGAACTCCAATAGGTAAGTGTTCTGCAACTTTGTTTCAAACTTGAAACCAACTTGAATCATTTACTTACCTTATCTTCTGTTTTCTTTCAAATGTTCATTGAATTTTAAATATGCCTGAAAGATCGCGGCCGGAGAGGTTTCTGTTTACAACAGGGGAGAAATGAAGTTATTTATGCCCTGAGGTTTTGGATTTTTTTTGTTCTTGTTTTTCCGGCGATCCTATTCCTATTCAGATTTTGGTAACAATTTTTCTCTACAGTGTGTTCCTTCCCTCACAAAATTTTGTTCTAAAATAATTCCGAATCGATAGAGTGGATACAGACTTTTTCTCTCTTAAGCTGTCTTCATCAGTTGATGACAACAATGTAAGTATTCCTTGGATCATCTTGTTCCAAGCGATTGTCGTTGCAAGGAACTCTAAAATACTAATTACCCTACAGCTCTCTCAGTAACTTCAGTAGCTGTGACGTTAATGGTGTGAACAATTTTCATATTGCTCTCTATGTTCCCTTTGGAATTCAAAGAAAATAATAAGTTAAATCATCACACCCAACACTTACTTGAAACTGTCAGTCACTGAATCATAATTGACCTGGAAGCTACAAACGAAGGAGTTGAAAATTGCGTATCTCTCTAGGAACCTCTCACAATCTCTACGGTTATTTCATTTGTATGAAGGAACACAAATGAATGTCATTGTTTGAGATTTCCATGTACTCAATATTCTTTATTGGAAGCCGAGCAAACCCCCTCTCAGACTAATCAAACTGCCATTCCATCCCTCAACACACTGCGTGCAAATTTGCCATTCAAGGAAGTATTTGTCAAGCTCTTTTCCTTTGTGTTTCAGGTAGTTTTATGGGATCACTCTCGCCTTTAAGAGCACATGATCTTGGAAGTGTTGCAATCAAGGAGGCCCTGAAAAGAGCTGGTGTTGATGGGAAGGAAGTCTCGGAGGTCATCATAGGACAGGTATATTTTTATCTCCAATTTCTAATTGAATGTTACCACTTCCCTTATGAAGGCGGTGCTTATTAATTACCCAACTGCACACGCTGATCGTCTGAATTAGCTCTCATCAAGACCAGCCTAATTATTTTAAGAACCCTTAAGTCAGTCTTCTTTTAAAAAATTATAAAAAAAAAAAAAAAAAAATCAAGTTATGACTACTTATGTCATTGATGTCTTATTCTCCAGCATTTCATCAAAGGCAAAATACAAAAATTCAAAAGACTCAATCAGTAAGTACATATCGATGGTGTAAGTTGACAAGCACATAACTCCGTTTGCATCGTTGCAGACTTTTTTTTTTATTTATTTAACTAGCCCTCAAGGGCTAATCCCATCTGCTTGCAAACCAGATCGAGCCAATCCCTAATCTGTTATTCTGTTTTTCTCCTTTCCCTATGTTTAAATATTGTACAAAAATAAATATAAAATTATAAATGCACAGTCAACAAAAAATATTCACCCAGATTTTACTGTATAAGTCCTAATAAAATGAGTATTTAATTTGCAAAGTGAGTGTAGGAATTTTGCCTCAATTTTTTTCTTGTCTGTTTCAGGCATTAACTGCAGCTCAAGGCCAAAACACAGCAAGACAAGCAGCGATTTTAGCAGGGGTTCCAGTCCATTCATCAGCATGGTGCGTCAACATGCTTTGTGGGTCAGGTCTTAAGTAAGTGTTCAAAATGAGTATTTCAATCTCATTAAACTAATTTGGGCTCAGAAGAACCACCTGCGTTTTACATCCGTCATCTAAAGTACTTATTTCTGAAAACACGGAATTTGGACTTGAGTTTTGCATGTAATAGATGAACTTTTGATCAGCTATCTCACCTCCACTGTGATTTGTTGGAAATATTTTGCATCAATCTTTCAAAACAAAAGTATCAAGATACTGTTTTATATAGTTACAGTTTACACAAGTAAATAATTGAACATTTTTCCCTCTGCAAATTGAAATTAGGAATAATTGACCTTGCATTCAAATTTAGGAATTTTTCTTCTGCTAATAATAAAGTGAACAACACTCACCTGTCTTGTAGACAGCATATTATGTTTCATACAATGTGCACCAGAGCAACATAAAATTCAGATCCTGGGTACGAGAGAAACACCTCTAGGTTGCTGAGTTTCAGAATATTCATCTCTATTTTATGTCCTGGAGAAAAATCTAAATGGTGACTTTTTTGTATTTTCTCTATAGAACATTGCAAAATCATGAATATTCTGTAGAAATCTCAACAAAATGCATGCATTCATTTTCTTCCGAGTGAATAATATATTATTGGAGATTCCACAATGCTGCAATCTAAAAGTGCTCCACTTGCACCCAGTACCTTAACTGATTTCCAGCTCCAGCCATCGCTCCCAAAATTATAATTTCCATCTATTCAATGCAGTCCTTGCATTTTGTTCCATCTCTGTTTACCGAGTGGTGAAAATCTGAATTGTCATTTCTATGGAAAATAGTCATTGAAATTGCAAGGACATAATGGTATGAATTTCAAATTCACATACTACCCATGTAGTAATGACTCCTATCACTGTTTCAGTGGCTCAACTGACTTAGATGTTTAGCAAACTTAGTACTACAATGGTCCTTTTCATCGAGTTCTGTATGAACTGAAAAATATAGGAATCCTTCAGTATAAATTTATCCCTTCAAAGCACATTATCTCCTCCAAGTTCTCATCAAAAAAGAGGGAATGAATTTTTGAATTACTTAGCTTTTAAAAAAAAATGAAAAAATAATTGACAAAACTAAGTAATATGTTGCAGGATAGTAGTTCCTACAGTTCTCTGAATTAGCCTCATGAGTGAATAATTGCTTTATTTCAATTTGATATTTTGCTCCTTACAGATCTGTTACTTGCGGATATTCAGCTATCAAGAGTGGAGAGGCTTCTATTGTAGTCAGTGGAGGCCAAGAAAGCATGAGCCAATCACCCCATGCTGTTTTTATGCGGTCGGGAATTAAAATGTGCAATGTTGAGCTAATTGATACAATGGTTCATGATGGATTGACAGATGCTTTCGAAAATATTCACATGGGAATCACAGGTAAACCAATGCTGTTATTTGAAAAGTTCTAGCTAAGTTCATTAAAGTAAGTAGGGGTGTCCTATCGGTTTTTGTGAAGCTATCAAAACAGTTCCTTTAAAAAGGAGTAACAATGAGAAGTTGACAAGTGATGTTAGAAGTTGGAGTCGTCAGCAAAATTTTGAAATCAGTAAGTATGAACAAATTTAACTAGAATAAACACCAAAAAGCTTAAAATCGGCTCATCCAAAGTACTAACCCCCGAAGGATAGAGCCCCCTCCTCAAAATGATAGGTCGCTAAAGTTATGAAATAAAAGCTAAAAAAAATAAAGTTTTCTTCAGTTGTCAACCCCAAGAAATCATGACATGATGCCCTTGTGGCCCCTGGGGCTTTGCCGATACAGCACAGAAAGACTCTAAACTTTTTGATTTTACAAGTTTCAGGTTCCCCTGTACCCAATCAGTGGAGCTACATGAGGCTCCAGCTCCATTAAATTCGAATGCTTTGGAGTCAAGAAGAAAAGGCTGCAGTTTCGGTTTGTAAAAAAACATAAAATCATTCTGTTAACTATGGGCCTAGCAAGGGTTTTTCGAGTTCAAGAGCTTCCACAATTCCAACAAACCACGGCAAAAGTGACCCATTAAAGAATTATGACCTTTTTTTCTTCTTTTTCAGTGCGCGTATATCTAAAGTAGTAGATCTGTAGTCTATGTTGTTGATCTATGTATACATACAACCACTCAAAAATGAAAAAGAAGGAAGTTAATCATTTTTTGTGAAAGCACTTTTGCCATGGCTCACTCCAATTGTGGAAGCCTGTTGACCTCAAAAATTCCGGCTGAGCTCAAAGTTAACAAAAAAATCATTTCTCTTTTTGGTAACAAAAACTGCAACCTTTTCCTTTTAAACTTGTTGAGATTCCATAGAGTTCAGCCCTAACAATGTTGAATATCACGAAAGACCACTAGGTATCAGTTAGACAATCTAGAAGTGAAAGGTCCAAACTCATATCAATATTTTTTTTGTTACATTCCCTATATATCATGTTTTCATTGGAATACTGACTCAGTTTTTTTATCTACTCTCAGCGATGTCGTTTGAGATATCAAAGATTGTGCAAGTTTAATGACAAAAAAATTTTAAGTTATATTCCTAAAATATTGTGAAAAGGAAATTAAAAATGTGTTAAAGAGAGATAGCACCTCACACATTTTTATTAATTTCTCACATGATCCAAATGAAGATGAAAGGTGCGCATTGTCTATTGCGTCAAGTATATGTGCAAGATCCACGAAACTAATTGTAAACAGATTTTTCACCGAGTGAAAGGGAGGGGAGAGAGAGCAATGCACTCCTTTAAGACATCACAAGAAAAATACCCTGTAGATAAGCCATCCTGAACAGGAAATCTGACCAATGTATAGTACCATAGTATAGTGTAATAGGACCCTGAGTGATTAAGAGTAGTATTTCTCGCTCCATGCACCTAATTAGATTTATCAAATGAGGAAATGGTATCTCAATTAGCCACCAGACAGGGTATTTAAAGCACCATATAAAAATGTGTTCTCTTCAAAATTTCATGAGGAAAAGGAATCACACAACAGGAAGTTTGAAAATCAACTCGCAAACGCGATACGAGTGGCCATAATTAACTAACATTGGTCACATGGCACAAACACAAATAACCCCATTTATATAATTTGTCTTCCATGTGATGTACCTATCTTACGAATATTGTTAATATCTCATTCAAAAGTTGATTTTCTAACTTCCAGTTGTGTGAATCGCTTTTTACGTAAAATTTTAGATAGCAAACATAAATCATGTTTGTTTAGTTTAAACCTTGTTGAGTGATCCATTATAACTCAAGGACATTCCTATCTACAAAAAATTAAGATCTCCATTCCTATCTACAAAAAATTAAGATCTCCATTCCTATCTACAAAAAATTAAGATCTCCATTCCTATCTACAAAAAATTAAGATCTCCATTCCTATCAAGTCCGCCTAAAGCACTGCCATACTGCACTACAACTTAAACACTACTACTTTAATAAACCGCCTGATAAAAACTTCAAAGTTAATTTACGACCCTAATAGAGAGAATCTTCATCAATTTTTGACTGATTGTTTGTGATTCACCTTAGTTGTAAAGGAATACACAAATACATTTTTGAGTAAGATCAATCTTAATTTATTGAGATTTTTTTGCTTTCAGCGGAAAATATTGCAAAACTGTACAATATATCTCGAGAGGAACAAGATGAATATGCAGTGGAATCCCAGAAAAAAACAGAGGTTGCCCAGAAAAATGGCTATTTTTCAAAGGAAATAGTTCCAGTTACAATCAAATCTAGAAAAGGAGATAATGTCATATCAGAGGATGAATATCCTAAACATGGATGCACCCTAGAATCTCTTGCAGAACTGAAACCAGTGTTTCTTAAAGTAAGTTGATGATTTTTTCAAATATTAAGTGAAACAAGTATGAAATAGAATTGGAGAATAGAGACGAGTCGCTGCATCTGTTAGCAATAGGTTGTTCTGCTTACATTTCAAAGACAACGAGCTGAAACGCACAGGGGACAATAATGGGATAGGAGTTAGAAGAGGAATAGAACCCCAAGATATATTGGAAGTGTAATTGAAGTGTAGGGATAAGGAAGAGTCATAGAGTAGTTAGGCGACTGCACCACCAGACATAGGTCCTCGCCTGACAATCCCGATAAGGGCAATACTATGCACCGCCCCCTCCGCTCTTGCATCCATTCAGGTGTAGTATATGTAATTAAAATCAATAAATTCATTAAATGAGCATGGGAGGTTTCTGGTATCCTGGCACCATATTTTAGCCGATATCCAAACCATTTCACAAGCTAAACTTTAGGGCTGTTCAAACACCTGCAACCTGATAGTTGAAATTTTGTGTTTGTCGGGTGGACATGGATGACGTAGGTTAAATGGCAAAGCGAAATTGCTCGGCTATGTCTTATCCCTGCTTTGTTGATTGGAATGGATGACATACTGTCGGAAACTCTAGAGTGGTCTTTAGTTTGGCGTCCACTCCAATCGACAAAGCAGCGATAAGATATAGCCAACCAATCACGCTTTGCCATTTAACCTATGTCATCCATGTTCACCCGTCAAACACAAAACTTCAACAATCAGGCTGCCGAAAGGAATAGAAAGAAATATTTGAGTAATGTTAATGAGGGAGGAGAGGGTCTGGGCGTTGGTCCTTTCAGAAAGGAGTGCAATCCCTAGCTTTAAGGGCATTTGGAAATGTTCTGCTGGGACTTGGAAATAAACCATGCTGCTCAGGGGCTTGTTGTCTTAAGTAATCGTTGTGAGTTCCTGGTAGCTAGTCGCAACTGAGTAGCTGTTCTACTGGTGTGAGTTTCAGGAAGGAAATGTCTAGCGAAAGTTTGGCCTCACAATAAAGTTTGGAACCTGTGTGGGGTTGCCCCTTTGGCTAGATAAATCTTCTGCCAAAGTCCACCAATATCAGGTGAAACAAAAGTAGAAAAGTTGAAAAGCTGTGGAATCACAACATCTTTCAGAGAAGAGAAATAAATTCTGAAGATTGTCCCTATAGTCTGGTCGTGTTTCTGAACAATCATTTATACTCAGCATAAGCAGTACAACATATTTTTTTCATTTTTTCCTCCATAAAAAGAGTGTGCAATTTTGTGAAGTCGGTAGTTTAGAAATCGAAGGAAATTTCCTATTATCTTGTTATTATTTACCTGTTCTCATCTGTTCTTCCTGTTTCTTATCATGCTTAAATAGACAAAACTGCTGCATGCTTAATAATTGCAGAAATTTTTCTGGAGTCTAGTCCCATTATATTGCTACAATCTTCTCTGCATGTGATCCAAAATCAAAGTTCTGAATTCCTCGATTGTATTGATTTTTTCAGGGTGGGTCAGTGACTCCAGGGAATGCATCAGGACTTAATGATGGTGCTGCAGCAGTTGTTCTTATGGACCGAGCAACTGCGGAGAAAAGAGGTGCTCCAATTTTAGCGAAAATAATTGCCATATCTCAAGAAGGAGTGAGTCCATCTTTGATGGGCACCGGACCTATACCTGCAGTCCAATCAGTATTGCAGAAAGCAGGCTGGTCACTGGACGATGTGGATCTTTTTGAGCTGAATGAAGCTTTTGCAGCGCAGGCATTGGCAGTCGTGCGTGAGTTGAAAGTTGATACGTCTAAAGTGAATATCCATGGAGGAGCCATCGCAATTGGCCATCCCATCGGTGCATCAGGAACTCGTGTACTGGTTACATTAATATATGCGCTAGAAAGGATAGGTGGGAGGAGAGGGGTAGCCAGTTTATGTATTGGAGGGGGGATGGGTATTGCCATAGCAATAGAAAGGTCGTAATGCTTTTTGCTCGTTTGAGTATAAAAAGTCTTTCAACCATTGTTCTTCCGCCTTGAGTGATTCACAAGACAAACTTTAGCGATGAAGAGGTGTTTTGTTGTGCCAAAATATTCTTGATGAATTTTAGAAGTAGAAGTAATGCCTTTTTCTGAACCCCTTCTTTTTAAAATGACGCGCAAGTCCACACCTATGTGAGGGAGGGGCATGTTGATCCATTCCTCTCATCACTTTTGTGTTTTTCCTCTTAAATTGTTGTCAAGATATAGTAGAACTATATCCCCCTGTCTACCTCTCCTCCCCCCCCCCCCCACATGAAAACGACAGATTCACATAGCAAGAAGCTTCACTAGTGAACTGTCCCTTCACTTTAAAACTCAGGAAGCGTCACCACCCGTAATAAAGTGTAAAATAAATGTCATAGTTCTTTCATTCTTTCTTGACTTCTGTCCAACAGTATTGATAGCAAGCAGTGAGACTTGTGTCTTTACCATCTTTGAGATTGAGAACTGTGACTGAAGGTAGTAACACTACCATGTGCTGAAGGTGAAAACAGTCAACTGCACAGACCAGATAGAAAATTAAGAAATTAAAAACTCATCTCAAAGAAAGTTAGGATGAATTAATCATTTAAAAAAAAAAAATCCTGTATTACTCACCTGAAAATCTTAAATCATGTGTAGATCATCGAAGACAGATATCCTGCGTGAAAAGAATGAAAAAGGAGGGGAAAAATTGATTGACCGTCCCTTAGAATTTTGACACTTTCAACTCCTTTCAATTTTAGAAGTCTTCCTGTACATTCCTCTGTATTGTATTTCTTGCAGTAACTTTCGATTATTATAATGTTTTCAAGTCCCAATGTAGATTCTTGGCACGATAAAATCCCTGTTCACTGCTCACAATTTTTACCAAAGATAGTAGGATCATGTAATAAGTTTTCATAGAAGTATGTCCCTTCATCATTGTTGTTTTCACCAATGTAGCAGTTGCATGATCCTTGGACAGCCTCGAGACCTAAGCTTCTGGTGTAAAATATGCAAGAAACAAAATCCCTAGCTAATCGAGCTTCCTTCATCCAAAAAAGCGTTTTGAAAATATAGAATGAGATAAGCGTTTGTCATTGACTCCAGTTCTATGATACTGGTTGATTAGAGGACTAATAGATTAAATCACCGTGGATTCCTGAGGTTTTCTTTAGAGGGGATTCAAATATCCTGTACCACCAGTATTAGACATCGCTCTTGTAACTTTTAAAAAAATTGAGATCAAGATTTGGAATCTTGCGAGTGCTCCTAGATCAAAGGAAATGACTGTATGGACCTCCGAAGACTGTCAGGGGATCCCTCTAAAAAGGAGCAAGAATCCCAGGGGTTGTAGGGGTGGTGCAGGACTTATGAATCACTTTGTATAGAATGCATTTAACTGCAACACTTGTTTATCCCAGCTATCAAGAATGGATCGAGCATCCGAAGAGATAGTTTTCAGTTTTTAATGAATAGGTCAGTGTGTTTTGTTTCTTTTAGACTTGATATAACCATAAAAATTTTAGTAAATACTCAAAAAGATCAGAATTTTGTGTGTTTTTTGGAGTTCTAGCCTTTTCCCTCTTTTCTGATCCAAGTTTTGATCATCAGTTCAGGTTGACATTTCTAGCTTGAACAGTAACCTCAATTTTTCTTTCAATATGCAGAATTATTTCTTTTTAACTACACGTCAAATGACTTAAAAAATGTCTCGCTGGATTCAATTACCTTTAAATCCATCAATTTTGCTCTATTTTCAAGAAAATAGGCAAAAATCTCAATTTTTCATTTAGTCTACTCACATGAGACTTGAACATTTTAGCTGGCCGCTCCTGTCAATTGAAAAAGGTTTTGCCAACACATGCGCAATTATCTTTATTAATGCCAAAATATCTTTAAGTATTCTCATCTCTCTTACGGACTGCTTGGTATTCCTAACACTGATGAACACAGTAGTCTTTTGAACTTTAAAATGAATGGCAGGGATTGACGTTTCACTGTATCAATTCAAACAATGAAAATAAGGTCCACGCCAGTTTCAGCTGGGACAATTTACAGCTGCATTTGTATGCTCATTTTAGTAGAAATGAGTTTTCAGAGAAGTTAAAATGAACTTAGAAGAAATTCTTTTCTCAAATCCAATCCTCTATAAGACAGCAAGCCCAAGCTGAGATACTCTTATGTAAAAAGCTCTTTTCCTCCTATACATGCGTAGTTCTTTTTATCTGAACGATAAGTGTTACCGCCGTATGTAAACTTATTCCTTAGTGTAATAATATCGAGCTTTCTTATATCACAAAAAATTATTTCCGTATTACTGTCAGCCAGAAGAGCTCGTTGTTCTTATCCAATTGCAGAAAACGAGATAACTTTGCCAGGCAACTAAGTGAAAAGGAGTTTGAAAGATAAACCTGGAATATATATTTATCAGCCCATGCTTAAAGTTTTTTTTAATGCATTAAGCTTTAAGATTACCCAGGAAACTTGGGCATGACCTATTTCATACTCATACAGTCCAAAAAATATTTATTTATGAAAATCTCCTCTATCCCAATATAATAATAATTAAAGAGTATCATGGCTGATGGAGTCAATTTTGTTTAAAAAAATCCATATGGAGACTTAGGTCATTCTAAGTAAATCTTAGGATAAAATTCTTTGAAAAGATTGAATGTAGGAGCTTATTTTTTCGTTACAATCTTTGAGTTGAAATTTTACTTGTGTCATCAGCAACCATGTAATTTTTAACTTTAAATTCATGTTTCTCCAAATCAGAAAGTGTTTATCGGAGTTAGTGCCAGTATATAAGAACAAATATTAAACAAACAATCTTTGTATCGATATCCATGCTGTAAAGATTATTTACATTTGTTTGTACATTTTTACTTGCCTTTATGAAAGGTACTGTTATTATTTTTATAAAATTAAACCATTCGTATTATCAAATGTCACAGATAATTTATGCAATTCAAAATATTCCTACCATTCAATAACTTCAGTTTCTTGTAGGCATTTAGGAAATTGCCATTTTTCTATTTTAAGTCATAATCCAGGCAGGCAGGGTCGAGAAGGTGTTTGAGAAAGAACACAGATTTAAAAGATTTTACTAACATCACCTTCGCTTGCAAAGCAAAAGGATTAAGTATTATATTTTAGTCATTCTCTTGTCAAGATGGCTTTTACCAGCGCTGATATCCGTTCAGGAACCTGATGGGTTAGCTGACTTGATTCCCTTTATTTTCAAGGAGATAGAGCGAAGAATGCTCATACTCAAATTATGTTACTTGGAGGGAATACCTAGCCATGGTTCTGGCAAAAAGGCCTTGATTGGCTAATGGTTTCCGCCAATTTTCAGATACACTAGCACCAAAATTTTAGCTTATATGAGAAATAACTTTGAGTTTTTTGCCACGAAATAAATCATTTAAAGACGAGGGAAAATAAATGTGTTGAAAACTTCAACACTCGATTTTTGATATCTCCTATCTAAAGAGAATGATGAACAATAAGTGGTTCCATTTTTTTCATCACGCGCAAGAGATACTTACTTTTTTGGAAAATCTTCAGAAGAGTGGACAGTGATGCAATTTACTCACTCCCTTGCCACTGATCATTATTTTGGGAATAATAGTGACTACACCAGCGCTTTTATAGTTCAATGCTTTTTGTGAGCTTGGAAGTTCGTTCAAAGGAAACCAGTGGCACTATTGTGTTTCTTGCAAAATTTAGCAAAAGGAAAATTACTTCAACAAATTCTTGAAGTTTCCGATTGGCACATATTTCTTCATTTGCAGAATATCTCGCGTCTTGTTGCGGGTTGCCAACAGAACCCCAATATTGTTCATTCAAACTTTGGCATCAGCCAACATCTGCCTATGTTTAAAAGTGTGAACAGTCAGCCAATCAGAGACGAATCGCCTCAAAAGTAGGGTCCAATTTCCTTCTCTCTACAGTGTGCTCCAGAGCATCTGTTCACTATCTATAGGTACCTTGAGAGCTGCTCAAAATTGAGTTTTGTAGGCGCATTTCTCGATGGGAAATGGAACCCTGCCGTGAAAATATTTTGAGCCCTCCCAAATCGTCCCTTCTGGTCATTTATGGTGGGGGGGGGGCTGTTAATCTGCGATTTATTTTAATTCGGTACGGTCTGTTTTGACTTCGGATTCGGACTGTATACGGCAAAGCTAAAATCTTTTAGTTTTCAAAGACTTTTTTGTCGATGTTCCGCATGACCTCTGCTGATCTTAAATTCACGAGAGCCACAACCCATAAGTCGAAAATTTCAGATGGCAAGAGCAGGTATGGTTTGACTTCAAATTTTTATTCTACGCGAAAAATTTCGGAGGATCGATAGGGTATGTGTGACCTCCTCGCCTCAAATTAGCCTAGGGTCCCTTCTCCCCAGAAATAAAAATAACGGCGTATTTTTGGGGGACCGACGGCTTCTCCCCCCCCCCCTCTCAAAGCCCCGAAATGTGGGTGAGAGAAGAGATGCCTTGACCACTATGAATTTGGGGTTACAGGGGTCACGTGGTACATCATCTAATAAGTCTTGATCTTAATCAGGACATTATATTTTGAAAATCGGATAATTTTGACGCCCACAGCCTTCAAATGAAATATACCCTAAAAATTCCCAAAGATGCCCCCTTTTAGTCCCAAAAATGGGGCCTAGAAAAAATGTTTAGAAACAAAAAGTTTTCATTTCACACAATAGAATCCGAATCCAAAGTGAAATTTAACAATTCCGATTTATAGAAAACGCGAGTAACAGAGAGAATCCCCCCCTAAAACTTGAACTCCAAGAGCGGTTTTTTGGAGGGCTGAAAATATGAATCGCCCTGTATCATAAAATGGATGAACCGTTGTTGTGATCTGATTTTTGATGAAACTTCGGCGAACTGCTTTTGGCGCCAAAAATCCTTGTCAACGTCGATGATGATAACGTCACGTCTGGTCTGGTCGTCTGTTTTTTTCACGCTGCAAAATGTAACGGTAGAGAACCAGAGACGGCTTCCTTCTTTTTAAATAATTGAAAAGTGTATAAGTTCTTACAAATCGTAATACCTTTTCATGTGTTTTTTCTCAAATTCTAGTAATTCTTGAAATATTCATTTTTATTCAGTGTAAGCAATCATCAGTTCAGACTCATAGTTGATTGAGATTCTCCAGGAAACAGAATTGCTCTGTTGTTAAATTCATTATTCAGGTGAGATTTTTACCCTCAATTTTTCCAGGTGAATGTTATCAATGCAAGTGAATGCTTTATTGCTCAGCAATTTCATAACAGCTCTTGCATCCAGGCCCTGAGATTCTGTTACTCTTCGTTTATCTCTGGCAGCCAGAAGTACTTACCCCAATACACTGATATATATACAGTGACAACAGCATTCTATATATCATCATAATTAAATAAGAGAAATTTCGATTACTATAAACAAAATGTAGATGCATTTTATCACTCCGGTGCAAATCAGAGAGGAGGTTATGCGTTAGTTCAAGACTGAACCATGACCTAGTCATTGAAGGGTTTTTTTTTAACCGTGGAACGCGATGGATCGGTATCTTTACGGTTCGGTCTGGTTCAACGACCTAACTGCAGCCTGAACACACCTTGGAAGAGCGGTCCAAGTGTTCTACTGGAATGCATGGAATGCGCCAGTCGAACGGGCTAAAAAAGTGATGCGTACCATAGCGATCCTCTGCGGTACGGATAAAAAAATGCCCTTCAAGATATTTGATTGCTTGGAAATTTGCACTGAGCGCACATTCCTTCTACTCAAGAGCTGGTCATGATGAATCAGTAATAGAGTGCATTTCCAATATGTTCAGAATCCGCATCAGCTAATTTTACGCATTTTTAGACTGCGACAGAAGATCCACGATCTTCATTCTTGCATTCACAATCCATTCCAAAATGACCTCACGCGATCTTCTGTTGCAGTCTGGAAGTGCGTAAACTTCATGGGCGTGGACCCCACACTCTCTTGGAATCTATAAATAAAGATCTGCCACCTTGATTCCAAGTAATTTTTATTCTGAATACAGGGTGTCTAGCAACTGGGAGAATTAGGAAATGTCAGGGAATATTTTTGGAAGTCGAGGAAAACATCACGGAATCTGCAAAGATTCGGCATGTCAGATAATTTTATTTTGAAAGCGATTTTTGTGTCAAGGAAATCAGAAGGCTCAGATTTTTCGGAAAATGTTTTGTGAATTTTACTTTTGCAGAGATTGCTACCAAAATTTCTACCTGAATCCTGCTGATGTCTTTTTAAAATGAGGCAAAAATATCTTGCATTAGTATAGACGCCACAAATTTTGCTCTATTTATTAACTACATTCTATTCCTGAAACATACAAAAATTCTTATGCACGTCAAATCAGTTCGAACGTATCGAAAAATTAGGAATATTTTTCTTTTTTGTCAAGGATTTATTTTTTCTGTCTGTCAGGGAATTTTGAATTTTTCCCCGGGTTTTTGGTCGCATTAGTCAGAGAAACGTTAGGGAATTTTTTTTTTAAAATTGCTTGACGCCCTGGAACGCTAAAATTTAGGTAGTTGATTTTCTATTGCTTGCTAATTGCGTCAGCTTATTTGGCGTGGAAACGTATGATGATACCATCTACAACTCAGACTGTACCTCAACTTAATACTTGGATTTAAATTTTAAGTGTTCTTTGCTTCAAATGATGCAGACATTAAAGCTTATTCCCTTAGCTTTCATGCAGTTTGCAATTTTTTGTCGGTCAACAGATGTCTCAGAAATGAATTTTTGCAGGGACGCCTCAATTTTGTTTTCTTTTACAACTAAATTTGCTTTAAAAGTTGGTAAATTTTTCTTAAAGTGGTAATAATAAGTGACTACATAAATAGATATCTATGATATTTTAAATTTAAACTACCAATATGATTGTCAATGGGTTAGCTCAAATGTCAGTAGATTTCCATGTGCAAATTTGTTTTATTTACAAAATTAAAAACGAATTCTTCACTCGTTTGAAAATAAAGTTATTTTTATAATATTCTCCTACTTATTGTTTTTTCCCCTAATTTTTCCTCAGGTCATGGCAGAAAAGCAAGTAAAAAAAACTAAACGACGTCGCCTGGACCTCAATGATGTCTATGAGGTAGAAAGAATTGTAGATCATGCACCCATAGAAAATTCACGGAACAAGTACCTCTACTTCATCAAGTGGAAAGGCTGGCATCAAAGTCACAACACTTGGGAACCATTGGATAACCTTAACTGTGACAACAAATTAAATGAATACCTTTCAAAACTTATTGTTGCTCCGAGTGACGAGAAAAAAATCGAAGAAATCAAAATGAGTATGATGACACTTGAAGAGGGCTATATCAAGAATTTACTATCGGAGAACAAAATTGATGGAAAAATCCAGGTAAAAATTTTCCTGTTGATCTATTTTTCAACATCTGTATTTGAGAGTGCAGGCTCAAGTCAAGTTTTCTGCATGTCACAAGATAAATTAGCCTTCGCAAAATCAGTAACATAACTGAACCATTTTGCCGCAACCTTGGCAGACAAAACATCAGCAAATATCGGGGGAAAACTAAGATGACAATGGGCCTATCAGCGGTAATTTTTAAAATAGATCTTCATTTTGAACTTCATATTTTCTTCGTATGCATCTCATAGTGAATTAGCTTGAGGCTGTAACCTTCTTATCCCATCTTCATCGCCCCCTGTCTTGGAGCAAGAGTTCAAACATTTTACAAAAGAAACATTCCTGAGAATTAAGAGAAGAAGATCTGCTCTATCATCTTTGAAGAACCTAATTATTTTTTCCAACAAGTGGGATCCATCCAAGCTTAATGGAGCCACTCTCTTGCTCACAAATCAACCCGAACAAGGAGGGGACTCAATCTTGCAACTTCCAAGTTGAATGATTTTAGCACCAATTGATAGCTAATAATGACGATCTGTCGGCCACATTTTTTTTATCTTGACCATTGAACCCTCGGAATGTTATAAAGATCAATAAGAAACGGTTCTGAGAATAGTCCTAGCAAGCCTTAATGCTGCCATGCACTATCTAGTCAGGTTTGTGAATCCTTGTCCATGAGCCAGATTGGTTGAACAAATGACAGTGCTTGTCCCATATTTTCAGTCAAAATATTGCTGGTTGGAATCAGCACACTCCTGCTTAATTGTTATGCTTTCCCTCCCAATGACCCAATGTCCTGAAATTCGACTTTAGGTACTTACATCTAAATAAAAACTCTTTTCCTTTCCTCTCTTATTCGGCACCTCCTCTGAAGAGAACTAGAGAGAATTCATCGTAACTGCTAACTTGAATGGCAAAACGTACATTGAAAACCAACCTCGAATAGACTCATCTTAATTTCAGATCAAAAAAAAGTAGTTGCTTTGGCTATGTTGTGCTTTTTACTTTACCTTCTTCACTTACTTCAGTGAGTTGACAGCTGTGCACAGAAACCAAGGATTCTAGAAGAACGTTTAGGATTTGCGAAAGGTATAATGAACATCTGAATCTGCAGGTAACATTAACTAGTTACCAAAGCTTTTGGGGAGAGAGGGAAGTGCAAAGTAAGAGAAAACAAACGAAAGCTAAGGAAAAAGTTTTTAGTTGGAAAGTTTCAAAGGTAGATACCATAAAGTTTAGTTGTTGAATTCGCAGCTGCAATCGAAGTTCTTGGAAGTTTAAAAGTTCGATTTGAGGAAAATGGACTTTGAACGCATCTGTTTCATTTCATTTCTCGATTAAGTCAAACATACATTTTATTTATTTCATATGCATTTCTTTTTTTTCAGATACCGGAAGTAAACAGGTCCCTCATCAAAACAATCCTTTATTTCTTAGCTTCGATGCCAGAGGAAGAATGGGATTTGGCTCTCAGAGACAAGCTAAAAAGTCTTATTGATCTTGAAGTATTAAGTGACCTCCGAACGACTCAGTTAGAGTCTCTACAACTGTGGGAAAAGAAAATGAACGACATCTGCAGTAGTAAATTTCCATTGAAAGTAGAAAACGATGTAGATTTGGAAGGTGCACCTCCGAAATTCATATACATCACTGAAAATGTAAGTGCAGAGGGTATTGTGATCCCGTCAGACCCACTTGTTGGGTGTGATTGTGGATTGTGGTGTAAAGGCACTTCATCCAAATGCTGTTCTTCATCTGCGAATTCGGTGTATGCATACTCCAAAGGAAAACTAAGAATAGATCCAGGAATGCCCATTTATGAATGTAATAAACGCTGCTCTTGCGGACCAGAATGTGCCAATCGAATGATTCAGCATGGACGTTCCAAGCGACTCAGTATCTTCCGAACCAGAAACCAATGTGGGTGGGGTTTGAAAGCGCGCGATAGAATTTCCAAAGGAACTTTTATCACTCAATATGTTGGGGAAATAATTACCAATGAAGAAGCTGAACAGCGTGGAATGAGGTATGATGCAGATGGCAGAACGTATCTATTTGATTTGGATTTCAATGGGGAAGAAAACGCCTACACAATTGACGCAACCATGTATGGAAATGAGTCTCATTTCATTAATCACTCTTGTGAACCCAACACTGCAATTTATGCTGCGTTCATAAATTGTTTAGATCCAAACCTTCCATTGCTAGCCATCTTCGCAGTTCGTGATATCATGGCTGGAGAGGAAATAACCTTTGACTACTCAAGTCAACAAAATGGTAAATCTATTTCTGCTGAGGACAATGAAGGGAAGGTCTTTGAAAATTACTTGTGTAAATGTGGTTCAGCAAATTGTAGAAAGTACCTATTTACATGATATTCTGCAGCTCCATGAATAAAAGAGTCATGTATTTATGTACTTTATATTGTTATAATGAGATAGTTGCACATGTCGCAGAATCATGTTTTTATGGTTCATGATTAAAAAACTTGGATCTGTCCAAGATGCCAAGTTACTACTTCAAATAATGGTTGAAACAAAACACAGCACATTGTGTCATTCTCTAAGGTAGTGCATTCCTTATGCTTCTTCCTTGTAGGCATGATCAAAATCTTACTATCAGAGCATCACTGATCAAAAATTCCAAGGTGAAGGAAACAACACAAAGGCACTTCTTCAGTGTTTAAATTTCACATACCATTTGTTTCAAAGAGCTTTGATCCCGTTCATAGTGGACCGAAAAACTTGGCACGGACAGATTTTCTTGTTTTTTAATATACAACCATTTAAACAGTATTTTTTGATGCGTGCAATAGATCGATTTGTGTATACGTTACAAGTAAATTGTCTTCAAAAAATACTGTCTCCAAAAAGACTCGTCTATTTTGCTTCAACAAGAATTTTGATTTTTATCAGTTTTTGAGTCGAAGAAAAACATTTTTAATGTATTGACAATAACTAGGACTGAATTGAATCCTTTGCTCCCCTTTCTCATTGAAGCACGAATTTTTGTATTTTCCTTCATCGATGATCTTCCTATGTCATTTATGAAATGGACAAATAATGGTGCACGACTTTTACCTACCAAGGATAATTTTTTTTGTTAATCTTAGTTTAAATTTATCGCTTTACTCGCCTTTATTCTTAGTTACTTCTTTAGCAGTTATTTTTATAGTCTTCAAGATGGTTCAAGAATTTTGAAGTTTTAATTAGTTTTAATGAGCCCTCCTAGACCCTAATCAAGAACCCTGAACATCAGCATAAAATTTTATTTAAATCTAAAGTGAGGTTCAATTTTTTAGCTTGTATAGAAAACCATATCGCATTTTCATTTATCCTGCAACCGTATTATGAAAGTTAAGTAAATTGAAACTTTTAGAGAGACTTGAAATCACTGAAAAGAGTAATGAACTACATTCCGCATGAATAAATATGAGATTTCAGCTGATTTGTCCAGCAGTCATAGTCAAATTAATGTTTTTGAGTCTTTAAAGGCCCTTTTCAAAGAAATTGTCCGACTCTGAAAATAATCTGATTGTGGTTCCTCAAAATATTCTCCATCGAGCGACGTATATCTTTGAGTGTGACTAATCTTTTTAGATTTTGTCTACCTCAGTTTTTACCCTGCTCTAAAAAGTTAGATTCCCAAGTTCCTTTCCTCCTTGTTTCTCATCGTCAGTTCCATTTAGATAGTTGCTGGTAGCATATAAAAATCTGTTTAGAGACTCATGTCAGACCAATCAAAAGTACGGATAATACTAATTGCAGTTACCTCATTCTTAACCATGAGAATATCATTACAATGATCTCGTATCGGTAGTAGTCTCCTCAACCTCGTTCATCTTTTCTCTAAATGACAGATGAGTCATGTTTTTTAAAAATGGGGTATTATAACAATTTTAAGGGACTATATTTGTTTCAAATAAAAATCTTGAAACTGATCTCGACTGAAGCAGTACAGAAATTCAGAAGTTTTGTAAAATCTTTTCCTGTTTTTAAGGAAGCAGTGCTTTGATGTGAATTTTTAATCTTTGAAACCCCTTTTGACATCAAGAATGTATCATAAATATTTACATATGTTTCACTGGCAATTTTTAATTGAAATGATCTCCTGTTGTAAAAAGACACAGCTAGCAGCCCAAAAGGAGCGTCAGGATCTATAACTATAACAATATTCATGTAATCTTTTAGCCAAAGAGAAGTGTCAAATTTTAAAAAGACCTTGTTAGGAGCAATGAATACATTGCTCTTTTTTTAATTTACAGTTTTGCGATTTGAAATTCCTGTACGGCCAACTTGACCTTCAGCTACATGTAGCAGTTTTAGGATGCAGTCTACAAACTCTAGAATTATTAATTTATTACGATTGTTATCTTTGATCTCTTTGTCTGAAAATTTTATTACTTCATTAGATTTTTAGATGTTAGAAAGTCTATTTCAGATACGAATTCCCATCCCCAAACAATAGTTCATATTGTTAACTGATTTCTAAAAAGAGAATACGTGACTGGAACAAGCTTTTATGCACCAGGCTCAATTATGAGACTACAGGAAAATCAGAAATATGTAGATGTAATAGAAGTAGAGCAGAATAGTGACATAAAAATTTGTATAATGGGTGTGTTGCATGCAAGTTATATAGCCATTTGAACTTCATGAGGAAAATCTCACGAAATTCACGCTGGGCAAGTCAAACATGTTTGAAAACCTTTCTTTAGCATACAATCTGCGTAATTTGTAATAAGCTTTTTCAAGTTTCCCGTGTCTGCGCGCAGTTTTTCTCAGTCACCGCCAACCAGGTTTGCAGAGAAGAGGAGTAAAAAAAACTTATTCTATTGTATGATTTCAATCGTTTTTAAGTAATTGTTTCCTTTTTCTTTCTTTATTTTTCAAAAATAAAAGCTTTGTATCACTTAAAATCTTACCCTAGAGTTCATGAAGTCATACTGTAAGTGGGAGAGCTGGCGCCATGTTCTGCTGGACTAGTTCCGAGCCCTGTGAGCGCTGAGCTTCGGTCACTTTTTCAATACACGTTCGATCCAAAATGGCGGTGTGGAATACATGATAGTTCCGATCTTCTTTGTTTACATCGAATGGCCGGATACCCGAGAATCGAAAAAGTGTCAAAGGCGTCACACAAGAGTCTTGGAATTCGGGACCTGGGAAATGCTTAAAAGTGGCCCCAGCTCTTTCACTTACATTACGACTGTTAGTACTCTATGAATTTTTTACAAGGAGAGTTTATGATAGTTCGCAAGATTGTTTCTTTCTTTAGATTAAGTCTCCCTCTGAGCAAACCTGACTGCTGGCCACGAACGTCAACCGCCTGCATACTTGGTAAATTTGAAAAAGCGTCTTACAAACTGTGCAGATTACCCACTAAGGAGTGGATTTCAGATTTTTTTTATGTGCCCAACATGATTTTCAAGCAAATTTACCCGTATAGCGTGTAATCAGTTGGCTGTGTTTCTTGCAAGCAACAGACGCATTCTAAAGAAACATGTCTTTACCTCTGTTTTTTTCATAATGGGCTTCATCTTCTCTACTTGATAAATAAGAACTTTTTATGAACCTTGATAGTTATTATGATTAGTTTTACCCTACATCCTGTTATCCTTTTTGTATCTTTTTTAGTTTTTATGTGTTTCTTTTCTGATTAGCTCATTTGCAGAAAGTAAAATTTAGTCATTTACATTGGTTCTCATAACAATTTATTCGGTCAACCTATTTATTATTAAATCCTTTTTGATGACAGTGCTGACAGAGTCTACATGAATAAACTAAGAATGACTTCTACCCTGGGTAAATTATCCTAGGTCTAACTTAACCTCTATTGTTAGACTTAAAAGTTCAAAATGCAAAATTCAAATGCAAAGTTCTATAAAGACTTCTTTACCCTCCAATTCATAATTTAAGAAGTATTTTTGAGTACTTTGGAGTCTATCTAGAGTTTACAAAAATCTGCAAACTCTTGAAACTTGGACTCAAGGCTAGTTGGTATCCAAAGAAAGTAAATATGAAGATTTGTAACATATTTTGCCCAAATTCCATTCCCACCTGAATTGCTGGAATAAAAAGAACAAGCACACCTTGACGGATATTTCAGATAGCTACTTGGTAAAAACATTTCTGTGAAACTCGGGAGTTAAAGCCGACAATATCCTAACTCGAAACAAAGCGAAATATATGTAGCTTTAACTTAGTCAACAGATGAATTACTAGGAGATACGCCCCCTGGCCGCTACGCAGCCCAACCCCCTGAAGGCGCTCCGCGCCATCATTCGGCCGCTGCGCGGCCCTATTTTCACCCTTCTATCAATGTTGGTCTTATTTTTCCCCTAAAAAATTACGATATGAGGTACACTTTACTTTTAGAATGAAATGATTTATGTTTTTGATGAATAAAGAAGAAAAATTTTATGAAGTCAAAAGGACGCGTTTTGCAATGACAGATTAATGAAACATTCCAGTAAAACAATGAAAGACGATAATCAGGTCATAAATTAGGTAGCTGAGGAGTCAGGAATCGAACCCACTACTTCAGACATGAGGACGCCTCCGACGTCTTAGACGACTCAGTCACCGCTCATCTTGTGAAAATAGGGGCGAATACTGTGTTGATAAGTAGAGCTGATGCGCAGGCTACTCAGCCACTGTGCAACCTCCTCAGCTACTGCGCAGCCTTTTGCGCATAGCGGCAGCAGGCGCGGAGCGTTCTGTGAATTCGCTCACTTTTATAACTTGATTGTAAAAAAAACTGGGTCCTATTTCCAAAATCTGATTAGAGCAGGCTCATCTAAAGCCTATCACGCATCGATAACTGCAAAAATCATGGAAATCGACCCGGTAGAACGCTCAAACGAACTATGACAAAGAACATAAATTTACATTGTTTAAATGGGAAAATTCGCAACTTTACCACGTAATATAAAAAAACCTGGGTCATATTTTGAAAATCTACATAGAGTTGGCTTATCTAGAGACAGTTGCCCGTCGATAGCCGCAAAAATCATGAGAATCGGTCCAGTAGACTGCTGGAACTAAGCCTTACCAGTTACGCAAAATTAGGAGGTCTCGGAGCTTATGGTATAGAGGATAGCGTTCAACTACCTTCAGTTTTGATTTAAGATCCCAAAACACATATTATAGGTTTTGCAAGCTGAAATGCGCTTCTTGCCAGTTAAAAAAGAAAGTCAAATTCGAATATTTCTAAATATTCCCTTGATTTAAGGGCCCTGGTCCCTGTTGCATAGAGGGTGGTAAAGAATATAAAAAATTTACCTAAAAAAAAGAGACAAAAAAAAAAGAACTAGAGTGGTTTTAGCTTTAAAAAGGGTTTTTCTTTACTGGGTTTCTTACAAGTTTTTAAAAATTCATTGCTATCATGAATGTATGAAGTCTCATTAAAAACAGGTGCCTTGTTCACAATTACCTATTTATTACTATTCACAAATGCAAATTTACATCAGCTTTCATACACATTCCCACAGAAGTTTCAACTTCCCATCATATTACATCTCTGAAAATGTTAAATAAAAAAATGCCTAAAGATAAAAACAGAAAACATAAACAAAGTGAGAAAGCTTTAGAACTAACTGAACATGATTGATACAGACCAAGCAAGTTAGCCTTTCAAAACTAGGCTGCAGAGGAGATGAGCTCAGAATATTTCTTAATCTTGCTTGCTATGCTCATGTCCACATACCTATCACCAATAACAACAACCATACCCCCAATAATGGCAGGATCTACTTTGGTCTCGATGATGATATTTTCTCCTTTCTTTGCAAACTGTTTCAAAGCAGCCATCAGTTCTTGTTTAGATGCATCGTCCAAAGGCTGAAAGAAATATTAATAAAAGTAGCTTAGACACTATGAAAAACGGTCAGGCTGCAACATTTACGAATACTTGTGTGATATATTAAGTTGAGACATTATTTGTAGGAACATCTTACAAGCCTTGCAGTTCTGTCCAGATGGTGTCACTTCGTATATCGTTTGTAGCAATCCAAAGAAACACATATGCTGATGATTTTTTGGAAAAATGAGAAACAATTCAACGAATATTTCAGATGCCAATTCCAGGGAGACCTTTGTTTCATTCTGTTACAAATAAACTACGAAATAGCACAGTCTGAGTAGCATTACAAAGCTCATACTCAAGCCACTTTAACAAAACAGAGCATAGTTAATGATGAAAACAATTTCACAGGAAATGTTGATCATTCATTATTGAGCATTTCCCCGGAATCTCGCAGCATGGTCGTTTTTACACTGATTGGAATTTTTCGTTCATAGTGATGAAAAAAACAATGAGATACGAAAAAACAAACTTGACAATAACGTAGTATGATGCTTCTGCAATTTAAACGATGGCAATGAAGGGAAACTTGGCCAAAAAAATAATTAATATAGCTGCTACTTGAAAGGTAAGACTAAAAGCTGATTCGGTTATTTTTGTACCCATTATGGACCTGGAATCATAATCTTTGTCACATAAGGCACTAATCCAGTGAAAACTGGATTACGAGGGTCGTCCAGAAAGTAAGTTTACCTATTCAATATCTCTTAAAGAAAATTTATAAAAACGTTGAAAAGTCACTATTTTCAGCTTTCTAATGCATTGTAGATTTTCAAATTTGGTTTGATAGAACTATAGAAATGAGAATTTTTCTGAACCCACCTCCTTTCCACGCAGGGCCTAAATTTCTCAGAGCGCCATCAGCAAATGAGCTGCTGAGTCTATCGCTTTTTGCAAGAAAGTGGTAAAGAGGAAGTTGAATTTCATTTAGGACATAAGGAAGAACATTAATCAGCTAGGAAATTGCAGGATTCACCATGTTTACTTTGAGATCAGTTGTATTCGAACAAAAGTTAACTGAATTGTCAGCGTTTACTCTCACTTACTGACTGAATTGTTCATTGCTTTCACATACTCCGCCAGCTCTCAAAAAAATGTTGTTGTAGAGGCATCATTTTGGAAAAATGCAGAATTAACAACATCTTTACTGTGAATTATCTTGAATTTGAGCAGCCATGGGCACCTTTCTTGGTTAATTAAGAAATCATAGACCGCAATTCACACACCCGAACCAAATTCAGCCAGACAACTCCACGAGTTAACCACTTGTAGCTTAACTTTTTCATGTATTGCAGTCCAGACCCACTAACTATTGAATAATACTGCAATTTTTTTACTAAGAAATGTGCTTCCTCGTATTTTACATGAAATTCAACCACCTCTAAACCACTTTCTCACAAGAAGCGATAGACACAGCAGCTCATTTGCTGATTGCGCTCTGTGAAATTTTTGACTTTCATGGAGAGGAGGGGGGTTCAGAAAAATTTACATTTTTAGAGTTCTATCAAACCAAATTTAAAAATCTACAATGCGTTAGAAAGCTGAGAGTAGTGGATTTTCAACGCTGTTTACAAATTTTTTTTATCTATCTTAGTTTAAAATATATTGAATAGGTAAATTTACTCTCTGGACGACCCTCGTATTTTCTTATTCTGATCCAAATAGGGACCCTCTGTCATTCAAATTTCAATGTGGGAGTGCTTGGAATTTGAAGAAGATATTTTCCTTCCATGAAAAATTCTACGGCCAACAGTGTTCGAAACTCACAGGTGCCAACACGCCAAATGCGCCTAAAAAATCGGCTATGGCGCAAAAAAAATGAAGGCTCTGGGCCGACGTGGCCCCTAAAAATCTGAATGTTCATATCAAGTGATTATTCAAAATTTTCAGCACTACAAGTGAAAGCTTTTTCTATTCTTTACGATTTCATCCTTTGTGCTTTTGTCTGCCTTAAGTTACAGCTACTTACTAGTTCTGTTACAAAACATCTTGCATCTAACTTTTCACTAAATGCGCCGTAATATATAGGCAAAAAGTCAATTTGGCCCCTAAAATCGGGCTTGATGCACCACTTGGCTCCTAAAATTCAAAGATGAGTTTCGAACACTGACGGCCAACAACTAATCCGTGTCTGAATAACAGCTAAATCTACAAGGCTTCATTTATAATTGTCCGCTATCATAGTATCCATGGATAATAGGTCAAAAAACAAACTGAGAAGAATTTGTTAGAGTGGAAAAACTTACCTTGGCTGTGGTAACTTCAACAGGCAAATCCCCACGATGGGCAGCCATGATTTGTTTAAAGTTATTGATGATTCCATGCAATTTGTTCAATCGACCATTTTCAGCCAAGAGATCTGTAGATATCAATAAACATATATTAGAGAGAACCACTAATAAATAATCTCTTGACTTAAGTTAAGAGCAAGATGATGGACGTACTTAGACCTCTTTTGTGCATGTTCGTGTTAAATTAAGTGTCAAAGACAGGGAGCCCGCTCTGAGTGGTGATGATGATTGCAGATGACACTCTCCTGACAGTGGTATCACAGTCAGCATTTGAAGCAGAGAGAGCACTACTAACCTGGATGTGGAACGCCTCATATCATTGTTGAAACACTTAGAGGCGCATCTACCCCTGAGGAGACCCTAATCAATTCATTGGGAGGAATATGTCTAAAGCTATGCAGACATACATGTATGGAATGAATAATAATTCTTACCCTGAGCTGATGACCTGCTATTTTTCTTAGGCTTGGCAAAAATGAAGATGTTACTTATTTTCTAGGGAATCGTACTTAAAAATTTGAACACCAATGGTTCCTAAGAGAACCTCCTTGATTCCGAACAGCCTGGTGTGAGCTGCATCAGTGATGGAGGAATTATAGACTTCCCACACTGGTGTTCTTTTGCTACTGCATGATATTCAATGATAAGTCATTGATAGTGAATAAATATATATAAAAAACCATACAGGTTATTGTTACTCTTACCTAGTAAATTTGCTGTTGACGGTTGGAATTTCAAATCAGCAGCCATTCCAACCACAGCTTTTTGCAAAGCATGTTTTTTCACGGATGGATTGCCAAAAAAGTCTTTCAATGAAGTGCTTTCCTTCAAGAGTTTCTACATGAAACATGGAACATAACCAAAATCAAACATAATGAGGGGGTCCTCTAAAAGGCAGCATGATGATGGCCAAAGTAACTGCGGATCTCCATTGGCAACATTGCAGATTCCCTGTCATACTTTATTTTCTCTTCAAAAAATTAGTCAATATAACTTCTTGAAAATGTCCTTCATTTTTCTTCCCTCTTAGTAGAATTTATTCAGGCTACAAAGTTGGCTCATTTCCCCTTAAAAAAAAAAAAAAAGAAAAAAAAAAAGCAGAAATTTTGAAAAATTGCAATGAAGAAACATGGCTTTGCACTTTGGCCATCGATAAATATGTTACAGCCAAGCTGATAGGTAATGATAAATAGTGATGGATCAATGATAAACATTCCCCATTTCGCGTCTATTTTTTAATTTTGATACATTCAAACAAAAAAAGGGTATTTTTCATAGAGAGTATGCAAAAAGCATGGATGCATCTTATAATCTTAAGAGCAGTTATTGGAATCCGCTTTGGACTAGACTTTCACAGACAAAAGTAGTCAACTTTTTTTTCGCTAAACTTAAAACATTCAAAACCTTGGGTTTTACCTTGTATTACCTTAAATATGCATATTACATACCTCAAACTTTAGAAGATCTTGATTCACAGCATCTAATTGTTTCTGTTTAGTAGCAGCTGAGTATAAAGCTGTTGCATATCTTCCTTCGAGCCCAAAGACGGAAATGGGCGGCTAAAAACAGGAAAAAAAGGCAATGAACATGAATTACTTTAAGTTCTGACGGCTCAGAAGTAAGATCCCTACGATACATGATGTTCTTACAATTTATTAGCCTTCATGAATTCATTAACTTAAATTGATAACATTGATATTAAAAAAATGAAATCAATGGTGGCCACTCCTACCTGCTCCTATAAACTCTAAGTAAACCCAGTGCACCATACCATGATAATTTAATAACTGTATGTAGATTTATGAATTCATTTATTAGGCATTCTAGACTGTAACTTTGGTGCAATTACTGTCATACTTCCAATGATGAATGTAGAACAAAATCTGCAAAAATGGATCAGAATAATCAGTTGTTCCTAGCCAATTACAATGACAGTTCACTGCTACTTGAAAACAGTGTTCCTGGGTGGGCTGTAGACAAAGTCTGCATGCTCTTCCACTTTCCAAGCTGCTATTGGCTGCTGCATCATTCTGTGACATCACACGTACAGACTTTTTAAGAAAGGGAGGCATTTTCCCATTTACTTTTGGTCTGTACATTGTCTTCACTGATAGAGGGAAAGTCTACATAGTACGGATATAATCGCACCATTGGGATCACTGCTGGATAATGACGATGATTTTTCACTGCTTTGCTGATGGTTTCATCATTTTAGATACGACCAGATTATTAACCTGGTTGTATCCAAAACGATGAAACCATGAAGCATGTACCTCCTAAAAATGAACCTATTAATTTTGGTAGAATTTCATTTTGAATTTCTCATTTGATTTTCGTTCCTTGGCTTTGTTCCTCTATACAATAGGGTGGACACATCAATTCTAACATCCTGTTACTTGTTGATACAACAGAGAGTTATCGAGTTACGGCTAAAATTTTAATTTTGCGACCAAAATTGATGAAAAAAAGGGTTCTCCTGAAAAATGTTCCTCAATGCTATAGTCTTTTTTTTTGCTGGTGGTCACATAATATGTTGCTGCTAGAAAAATTGAACTTACTTTGACAAGTTGCCGACAAGCAGCAGAGGAGGATAGAGCTCGGATCTGGAAAAAAAATGATTTTATAATTAGCAAAGCATCTTCGTAAGAAGATTTAAACGATTTAACAATTGTTCACTTCTTTCAAACCCTGAAAAACAATATGATCAGGGAGGGAGGGGGGGGGAATAATGATCTAATTTGTATTTTTACATTTCTTAACATTGGAATTACTTATTAACCAGGGCTTATTTTGGGCCTCTGTGGTTTCATTAAAGTGCCCAACAACAGAATATTCGTCATCAATATTTGAAAGTATATGATACAGTTGCCTTTATACACAATATCAGCAACTAACACTCAGCGATTATGCTTCTGGGCAGGGGTTTTTTTTTTTTTTTTTTTTTTTTTTTTGTTTGAGAGCTTGCACACTCTAGGTATAGTTCATTGGCCTTAGTCGTGTAGACAAACAGCCACCGCTAAATCTGGGCAGGGTCTGCATGGAGCTTGAAGTTACAGTTGAAAATAATTCAAATTTTTTTTATGAAATACTGCATGAGTTGTTGGCATTACAGAGAATGAATTTAATTGGAAAGGACAGGAAGTACATGGGCACTCGTCTACTTTCCATGAGTTGGTTGCCAGAATAATATAAATTTCTGTTCGTTCATCACCCAACCTTCACATAGATCAAGGTACACTCTGCTACAGGTGTGGACAAACAGGGTGCTAAAGTGGCAGCGCTGAGAATATAGGCCATTGCGTGACGTTGCAAGTCATACCGTCTTTACCGCGCAGTTTATACTTCAGAGGTTCTGGCAGATCTGGTAGCTTCAATAAGCTTAATAAGATAAATTTAAAAAATTGGTAAACTCTGAATAACAAAAAGCTTAACTAAGAACACAAAAAAATAGCGTGACATTGACGAGACCCACTCTCAGAACAGAAAGTTAACAAGTTTCCAATATGGCATCACAGTGGTACCATTGGACGCTGTCAAATCTACGCGTCTCGACAACTTCCTAAAATTCCATTAGTCCACGCCTGTAGTAGAGTGTACCTTGCACATAGATGAACAGTACCTTGCTTCACTAATTTGAGGTCCAATAGAGGTAGAGTCCACTCTTGATTAAACTACCCACTAATGAAATGTGGCAGAAGAATGACTGTTTTCAGTTCACTATTGAAAAAGTAAATACAAGAATCAAGATGGCGGATTTTTTAACGCACTCAGAAAGTGCAAAAACTTACGAAGTGTAGACCACGGACTCTACCATGCAAAACTACTTTAGCAACCTTACTAAAGCTTATCTGCATTACTTACAGTTCAGCTGGTGAGCTTCTTTCGTACAATAACCATCAGCATCGTTTGCTTCAGTTGTTGGTTACTAACCTGGTTTTCTAGTGATAAGGGATGAGATAAGAGTGGACATCCTCTTCCAATGTCTGGCCAGATGTTAGGTACCAACAATTAGGGTCTGATTTAGAGCAGGAACCCCTAATTAAAGCTCCAGATGCAGAGAAGAGGGATATCATTTGGACTGAGTTAAGCAGAAAGGAACCAACCCACATTTTGGGAAAAATTGAGTTATGAGTGGTATTGAACTCAACCACTGCACTACTATCTATCGCCAAAAATTCAAAGTTTTTGTTGGAGCAAATTTTGCAGAAATTGAACTTGAAGTTTAGCTTTTACATTGAGTCTTATGCACAAGCCAAACTTTAAACCTCTTTTTCTCGGTTCGATCCCGATGTGGCTTGGTTCCTTTCTGTTTAACTCCGTCCATTTAAGACTTAGGAAAAGTTCCATCTATTCGCAATGCTCTTGTCAAGTACACAACGTTGAGAACTGCTTTCAGGATACCATATCTACTTTGGATCACCGTAGCAATCAGGGGAAGGCGCCTCAACACTAGTAGGAAATCACAAAAAGTGATGGAAATTTTTTATTATCAATAGAATGGGGAAACGGAGAGCTAGCTAAAAATGTCCTGTGTTCGGCATTGGGTATGATCTCGGGGTTGTTGAGCTGGATCAAATCTTAAGTATGGTGCGAGAGGAAAATAATTTTATAACAGTTGCCTCTCAAAGCTGAGGACAGTAAAGCCTCATCCTCATCCATGAATGAAAAAAGATGGATATAAATGTGTGTTACTTACAAAAACTTGAGTTTGATTGGCTGCCATTATTCTTGATCACGAACTAACCTTTTGGAGGTTACGAGTTATTGGGGTGAAGTGTAGTGGGGGGAAAAAGAGGGGGTCAAGTGGGGGTTAGTTGTGGGTGGGACTCCTCTGATTCGCTGATGATACCTAACCCATAAACTTTTGCCAGTTTGATTGTTGTTATTCTTCTTCCAGTCTTGCTGGTCTAGTTCGGTAAGTGAAAACTGAAAAATCTGAAGCCGCCCACTAATTTCGTCATTTTTGTGATAGTGAAAAGTGTAGCATTTCTCCTGTCTGAAACCCTGATTGCATCGTGCTCATAGCTCCCTTTGGCAATTATCGTTCATCCTATCGCGCAATACGACAAGTGCTTATCATCCACTCACATCAAAATTTGAGTGTGTGGCTCCATAGCAACTTCCCTCTGCATCCTGCATTTCTGTAAGTACATACACAAGCCAATCTTAAGCATGCAAAAAATTCCATATTCCACCATACGGGGCGCTAGAAACTTCGCCAATAGAATTGGCCAAGCACACGAAGAAACCTATCAAGCGAAAATCGTCACTTAGTATGGCTGATCAAATCATTGTCCGCCAGAGTTAGGACTTTGTAAATCTGATGATTTTCCTGTCAAATAGATTTCTCCTATCTGTCTCAATATTTTACTGTCAGATTGATGGATAAGGGACGGTTCCCATGGCCTCACAGTTGATATCAATGCTCTTAGGCTTAAGTGAAAGATCATGACCAACTATTAAACACATTCTAGTGTTTTGGTAATGTGCCTCTTCAGAGCACTTCAAAATCCTGTATTTTGGGCAAAGATTCCGGAACATTGTGTAGCCCTTTTAATTTGAATGCCTTAGCCCTTAGCTTTCCATGTGGTTAGCTGGCTGGACAGTGGATAACGCTACGGGCTTACTTTGCGAAGGCCTTGCGTTCTATTCCTTCAGGACTGTCATTCAACATTTGTAGAATCAATCCCTTAATTTCTTTATTCTTCTCTCTTTCTTTCTCTCTTCTGCCCACCTCTTTCAATTGAAAACGAATATTACAAATGAGAAACCTACAATTCCTTTGTTTCCCTGAATTATACTTGTAACGTATGTAAGGAATATGTATAGGTAGTGTATTTCAGATGTTTGATTATCTTCAACAGGTGACAAGATGTGTTAGGTCTTCTTGGTTTTTGATTTGGATGTATTGCAACCATTAAAACTAACCAAGAATATTGCTAACTCTAAAAATTCAAATTTCGCTTAGTTGTATATTACTGTCAAGCAAATGTTTTTAATTGAAAATTCCTGTGTGAAACAATAAGCATTGTAGAGGGAGAATTGGTATCTACACAACATTAATTTGCCTTCGATGGCCTCATCTGACTTGTGGGGCACTGTTGCGTGAACATGTGCTGATGAGAGATAGGTTGGTCTGAAGGAGGGAGGGGGGCACGTAGGCCACAGCCCTAGCAGCAAAATTTTGCAATTTTTATGCATGTATATTGAAAGAAACTTTAGGATTTAGGGAGCATTCATAAATTACGTAATGCACTTTTTCAGTTTTTTGGATCAATACAGGGCGATTCAAAAGTCCCTCACCACCCCTAACTCCTGAGGTGTACGTAGCATTCACAAGATTTCAAGTCTCTATCTCAATCTGTTCTTAAGTTACAGAGGTAATGCCTCGTGTTGGCGATTCAAGACTTTTGATCACCCTTTAGACCTCACAATAAGAGCAGAGCCCCAATTGCGTTTTTTTGGTAACCCCCCTCCCTCCCTCCGCATTCTTTTAAAATTCAGAACTATTTATAATATCTTCCAGCAGAAGTGGTGGTCGCCCATGTAACTCTTCTTAAAGTGAAATTCACTCATTTTCAAATGGACTACATTTTGTGATAAGGAACCACTATATCTGGCTCTTTCATAAAAGCACTTCTCTACATAGGAAAACCAATGGCATATATGGACTGCATTTTGCAATTTGGACCTATAAATTCTGGCTCATCTGAAAAAACACTCATGTGCATAGGGAACGAATGGCACATACGTTGTTTTTAAACCGGGCCGGAATTTATAGCTCCGAATTGTCGGCCTTCTGTGGTGTAGTGGTTGTAGCGCTGGCCCTATGACCAAGAGGTCCCGGGTTCGATTCCCGGCCAGGTGATCTGAGTTTGATGGTCTCAGGCAATGGTCACCTGGGGCTGGGGTAATAAGCGTGGGATTAGCCGATAGGCTATTTGAAATTGGCAAAAAAAAAAAAAAAAAAAAAAAAAAATTGCAAAATGCAGTCCATATGTTATCTCAATAATGAGCCAGAAATAGGTATTGGTTCCTTATTACAAAGTGTGGTCCAAATAATACTTATCGCGTTCGTCTTATATTTGACACGTGTTTCGATGGGGTTTCAAAACTCAGCTTATATTTCGGTCTCTTTTCCCGGCCAAACGACTTGGTTTCGGACAAACCGCGATTTTCTATTATCTACGATAGTTCCGGTTCCGATCACCGTGGTTAATCGAGATTCTTATTTCTTTTTTTTTTCGGCCCAAACTTTCATTTTATATTTCCTCCAGAAATTATGTTTGCCAATTAAACTTCTTTCGAGGTAAAATGCATTCATTTTCAACTAATATACGTCCGTCTAACATTTGACAGCAAATGTTTTTATAGATTCTTTTAAAGTACAGCCTTCGCGATCTCTTTTCTTGGTCAAATTTCCTAAGTCCGTACTATCCGCGATTTACGATTAGCTGTGATAACTCCGGTCCCAGTCACCGCGGATAATGGAGACTCAACACTGCCCTGCTAAGGAAGAGCGCCGCACAGTGGATCGAGTTAATTGCAGAGATCGGACACGAAATTTTTGACCAAAACTAAGAATTTTGGTGTTTATCTCGTCACATTTCCAATTTCAAGGGGTGCCTCTGGACGAAAATTTCACGAAGAAACCAATGGAACCACTTTTTGAACCTCAAAGTTTTGTTTAAACGAAGTTATAAGCACTTGCAGTTTCCAAATTCTGTCCGACCTCTCCTATTGACTCGATCCACTGAGATATCCATCTGCCGTATGAACATTCGAGAGTCGCCAAATTTTCCCGTATGAATGATGTATTTTTTAGGAAAGTTAGGCATATTTTCCCTTGAAATTTACAGGAACCCAGAAGGAAATTGCTAACACAATCATCTGGAATTTTGAAGAAAAATATTCGCCATTTTTCCAGCAAGTTCGTTTTTTTTTAAAAGACATATCGACGGTGAAATTACCGAACCACGTATCTCGTTTGCGGTGTTTAAAAATTTACGCTCACATTTTATTTTTTTGAAGTAGACCAAATCAATATCATTCCTTGAAATTTTCACAGAATTTTCTCCGCACAAAGAGGAAAAATCACGGAAATTTTCAAGTCTGGATGTTAAGTAGTTTTTCATTTAAAAAATAAAGTATGACAGGAAGTCTGCGACGTCGCAAACCGAGATACGTGGTTTGGTAGTTTCACCGTCGATATGGCAACACCAGGAGGCTCTTACGGTGTTCTTACTAATGCCGCAATCACATGCTGAATGTGGCTTGAATGTGGAAGTCATCGGCCCATGTCTGAATTTTGCGCGCGTCGCGCAAAATTCAGCAACGATTCTCAGCGACCATCGGATAATGTCGGATTTGTCTGAACTATTCGAATAAATTTGATAAACACATCTAGATGAAAATAACTCGAATTTGCGAAATTTCAGCTGTTGAACGATGACTTTTGACTTCCATATTCAGCTGCCAAATTTAGCGTGCGATTCCGGCATAACCACGGCAGCACAGTAATTAAAATTAATCCATTTTCCGGCACTCTCAACGAGTAATACCTTATGTTATCCATATGACGACATGCGCGATAGATTCTCTCAGCGCTGAATCATACTCCAGGAGGATTGACTAACCTACCAGGTATGCGGCTTAGTTCCGTCGGTGATACGTCTAGACACTCGTCACGAGAGAAGAGCATTTTCACCTCTTACCGTAAATGGCAACCTCCATTGCTCCTGAGGACCATTATAGCTTTGTTGTCGTTGTGTCACCGCTTCGCTCGGCATGTTCTTCTCCCACCTGTTGCCCGTTTGCGCGAGAAAATTTCCCGACCGATTTCTTGCCGGTTGTAAAATTAATTATCAGTTTTCGAGGAAGCCGCCCAGTTTCGTCCCAAGATTCCGTACCGCTTGCGGTTCCGTTACTATTTTAGGTGAAAGCGGCAACGCAGCAGGGCGATTTTTTGTCACGGACATTACATTTTTACACTTTAAAGTGTCGTAGAAACAGGGCCGGATTTAGGGAGTGACCACATTGGCCGCGGCCCATGGCGGCAATTTTTGGGGGCGGCAAATTTTGCAATTTTTTTAAAATGTATCTCTAAAGAAAAATCGGATGCAGAAAAAAAATTACAAACGAGAAAAGGTCACAAAATCTCTATTTTCTGAGAGGATAACTCTATAATTTGTTGTCTTTTTGTGGTACAATAGACAGCACCTTTAATTAGTCGAGTTCAGACTAAGAAAGAAACCGAACGCGGAATTTGGCCTAGAATGGCGCGGCGCAGAGAGCAATGATGATGAGGACTTGAGATGAAAAGGAGAAACCCGCGGCGCGGCGGTCGGCATGTAACACATTAGCGCCTACAAGACTGCATAAATACTTCACGCATTGCGTCAAAGACAGTGCGGTCAGCAGCGGGCGGCGTGAAACGCATAGCGCCTACAAGACTGCATAAATACTTCACGCATTGCGTCAAAGACAGTGCGGTCAGCAGCGGGCGGCGTGAAACGCATAGCGCCTACAAGACTGCATGAATACTTCACACATTGCGTCAAACACAGTGTGATCAGCGCGACGCGGCGGTGGAAGTTAAAATTATTAAACCACATTTATGTTTGTTCTTTCATAATTTTTTCGTTCATTACATCTAAATGGAAGGCCTTGTCCACACAGAGATAGGTTTAATTACGGAACTTAACTTTCGCGCAAAATTCCGTGAGCTTTTACTAGTAGTGTTGACAGGGCTTTCGCAAAAAATGTATATCCAACACGATTAAACGTGTCTTACGCACCCCTACCTCTCCGGCACGTTCACTTGATGGTTTTTATTGATGTTTCAACACGAATGAGGAGGGGGCGGAAAGATACAGGCGGCCCATGGGCGGCAAGTAAGTAAATCCGGCCCTCCGTAGAAGGCTAATTATTTGGAGTAATAATTTTAAAAAGCGTTACACTCCTGCGAGTGGGGTCTCTCCTGTTTTCCCTCAGAGTTTCATCGAAAGAATTAAACCTCAGAAAGAACCAGCAGGGGTGCAAAATGTTCACGAACGAACGAACGACCGATCCGTCGTTCGCGTAGGCTGTGACCTTTAATAAGGGATGAAATAAAATTGATTACGTTTTGATCAAAACTTCGCT